ATTCTGGGAGTTGAAGTCCACTTATCTTAAAGTGGCCAAGTTTGGACAACACTGGTCTAAACAAAGTCATGCTCAATACTCTTTAAGAAAATCTCCTTTTCTCCGAAGAAATTTCTCTTCTGTCTTCATCTTGTACAGCCTTGAATCTTATATATCTTGTTATTTCTCAAATAATAATAATGTATTAAACTTGTATGCTGCCCGACTCTCAATGACCCTATTATTATTATTATTATTATTATTATTATTATTATTATTATTATTATTATATCCTAAGGAACCCTCATCATAGCAGGTGCTAATTTAGCCTGATCTCAACAAGCTAGTTGAGATCAAGTTGGTTGATACGTTCATGAGAGACCACCAAGGGCTGTAGAGTAAGCTGGACAGTCAGAAGACATCTGGAAGATGGCACTAATTGCATATGGCTTCCAAGGAAGAAACATGGATGAGTCCATAAAGTCATTAGGAGTTGACCTTGAACAAGGCTTTCCCAACTAGCCTGTCCACACTTGGCTGATCTAGACGAAGCTCAGCAGGATCAGACCTAATTAGGACTTGGATGGGAGACACCCCACAGAACTATAGCTAGACTAGTAAAAGTTGAAAAAGCATCTCATAAAACAGCAGTGGAATTCCAGCTGGGGGATTCTGGGAGTTGAAGTCCACAGGTCTTAAAGTTGCCCAGATTGAGAAATATTACTCTACATCAATCCATTGTGACTTTTCCAACAGTTTTCCTAATCTGAGCTTAAATTTTTCTTTGGAAATTGTACTGCAGGGCAGTTCATCACAGAACAGCAAACAATGATCAATTAAACATTAGCGTTATAGCTTCCACCACTGATGTGCATTCCAATAAGAAGATCCACGATCCCTGGAAACCTTCTTCGCTTCATTCTCGGCAATGGAACTTCTCCACTATCCCTTTACGACTCTGCTCGTGGGGGGAATGACCGCCGCTCGGGAGGCTCGGAAGTGACGCAACGCCTCCCAGAATCCTCTGCGCTTCCTTTTTCCCGGCGGTAGTGGCCGTCGTAAGGTGAGCTTCATGGGGCTGTGCCGGGCCTTCGGTTTTATCCGTAGTCGTGGGGCGCCATCCGGTGATGAGCCCCCCTGAAACTGGCCCATACGGAGCGGGGAGGGTTCAAGACGAACGACCGCTGCGGTATTTCCCTGTTTTAGAGCGGGGGAAGAGGGAAAATGGACGAGTGGAAACGGGGGGAGGGGGCTATTGTGAAAAAGTGCCCCGGATGTAGGGGCAGTGGAGGAAACCATTCCGTTCGGGTAAGGGGGGGCATTTCTGCCGATCATTTTTCCCCCTAAGGGGAGGTCTGCGGCATAGTTTCGCAGCAGTAGAGCGGGTGGGGGCGACGTTGGGGTGCTGGGGTCCCCCAGGTGTTGCTGAGTATTGCTAGTATTGCTCATCATGGACTCTGCCGCCAGGAGCTCCTGCAAGCTCCGTTTTAGGAACGGGGAAAGCTACAATTTTCTCATCCTCCCCCAGTAGAAAAGGGATAAAGATGCATAAACGCTTTCAGGAGTCGTTGCTTCCCTTGATTCTAGGAAGTTGAGGAAGGGGTCTTTCTCAGTTTCTCAAGTGATGATTTGTGGGGCTGGGGGATTATAAATGCCATGGTCTGAATGGTAAAAAGTAGATTTCAAGGGAATCTGGTTGAGAAAAAGAACAGCGTTTAACTTGTTCTTCGGAATTGGTACCTTTTGCAGTGCAGATCTCTCCGATATAGAACTAATTGATCTTATAGTGAGAAATAAGACTGGTTAGTGGTGGTGGGAGAGCAGAGGGAACGCAGATCTTTTGTGCTGCAATGTAATCATGCAGTATGTTAAATCCAAGTTAATCAAAGGCAGATGTGATGTTTGCATGACAGGCTGCAGAGAAATAAACTGTTTTATAGTTAGTGAACAGGTTGGGTCATAAAACACGCTAAGACAATGCTGGGTTCCCCAGTCAATAAATTACCCAGTCATACTTAGCCTAAGTCTAACATTAACTCCATGTAGCTGACCTTGGCTGATACCAGAAGATTAAGTAGGGATGGACCTAATATTCAGATGGGAGGCCACAAGGAAATCTTGCAAGTGTTGAATGTTTGACTCAGAACCAAAGAAAAATCTTGGAAGAAAATAGTGGCAAAGAACCAGCATGTTGTCAAGAAAATTACATGGACGAATCCATCAGATCACCAGATCCAAGCTCAATTTGCAGGCTTTCCCTAGTATAGTGTGGTGATCAAGTTGTGTTACAATGTTAATGATATTTTGCGTTGGTTTAGCATTTAAAATAAGGGCAGAAGAACAAATTGTCTTAATAACACTTCATTGCAGTATTTAAATTCATTGCATTTAATATTCTGATTCTAGGATAATCAAATTGAGATATAATGAAGGCTGAAATCTCTGTTTTACATTGTATGTGAATTGTTAGGGGGAAGGGGGCTCTGCGAGGTGTTTCTTGGGGTAGAAACTGAGGCTGCGTTGATGACTTTCTTAGGACACCTTTGGATATAAATAATGAAAACACTATGAATTCTGAGCAGCTTTTTTTTCTAATAGCGTAAGAAGGCGTAGATAATTTACTGTTTCATGTCTGAAACATGATTTTTCCCAATTTTGCTTAGGTGAGCTCTGAAAATGGTCCGCTACTCGCTCGATCCAGAGAATCCCACAAAATGTGAGTAGCATTCTCAAGAGCATATTTCAAAGGACATTGAAATGTATTTCAGATGGACAGGACAAGAAAGCTTTAACTTTTGCTTGTTTTCTTATTGTAGCATGCAAGTCAAGGGGTTCCAATCTTCGTGTCCATTTCAAGGTATGTTAGTTGGCTCTTCTCTCCGACAATATGAGGAATGGATGGAAGTGTATATTTTGATGGGAATACGTTGCATTAGATCGCATTCAGTCTCAGGAGCAGAAAGGTTCTAGTTCCGTTCTCTCGCTTGCCAGAAGGTGCTGTGGACATCCTCCCTGTCCTCGGAGACTCTTCGCTAATCAGCAGCCCTGATTTTTGTTCGCCAGAGACCTCATTGGTGGGCAAGCTCCATAATACTTGAGATTTTCCTTTATGGATACTTGACTTATCTATTTGAAAGGTGACAAAAGGGGCAGCGTGACCACAGCTCCCGTTCTGCCTTTCTTTTGGCCACTGCTTTTATTGCTTGCACCTTCCTCATATCACCTTCCACTGCTGTGGTTATTTGGGATCAAAACTCTTTATTTGCTTTGATACTATAGCTGTTGATTTTTCCCATAGTCAGGCAGCCTGTTAATCATGATTCTTGAATTGTCCGTTTGAAATTCTTGGTACCAACTAATGTGGGAAATTGTTGATTATTTGAGGGGAAATATGTTGTAACTGCAGTGATGACCAGCTTAGGACACCTTTGGATTTTTCATGAAAACAACTAAGTGGATCTGAGCAGTTGCTTTCCTAAATGCGTTTGCCCTTATTCTACAAAACTAGTTTGGGGCTTCAAGGTTATAATCCATGGGCCTTTTTGAAAAATAGACAATTATGCAATTATCATAGCATCTATCATATGTTTATTTGCAAATTATAATGTTTATTTGCAAGTTATATATTATAAAGTTAAAATGGACCACAGTGGACATCTAGTCCAACCCTCTGCTCAGTGCAGGATCCGCTAGAACATCTCTGACAGATAATTCTCCAGCCTCCCTTGGAAGACTTCCAGCAAAGGAGAGCTCACCGCTTCATGTGGCAGCCTGTTTCACTGGCCGACAGCTGGTGCAGTCAGAAAGTCCCTCCTGACATCTAGCTTGAATATCCTTGTAGTTTTAATTCACTGGTTCTGGCCCTGCGGTCTGGAGCTGTAATGAATATGTCCGCACCCTTTCCGTTTTCTTTAGAACACACGTGAGACTGCCCAAGCTATCAAGGGTATGCACATCCGGAAAGCCACCAAATACTTAAAGGATGTAACTCTGAAGAAGCAGTGTGTTCCATTCCGGCGTTACAATGGTGGAGTTGGCAGATGTGCACAGGTATGGGTCCAGAAAATTGTGGCATGTGTCTGTCCGTGCAAGTCTCTGGTAATAACAACAGTTTCAGGAGAAATTCTCAAAAGGCATTGATTTCAAGTACTAGTGATGAGAATGTCAGTAAAGTGAACTGAAAAGGCTGACAGTTATTAGTGTCTTGTTTAGCAATGGAAGGTTCAGTGAGTTCACAAAAGTAGGAAATAGAGGGCATTTATTTAGTGCATGTGGGAAAACTACCTTTGGACTGCATTGTCCCTTGTTTGCAGACTTTCATTGTTTGCAGCTGGGTTGCTAAGCTGGAAAGATAAAGATGGATATGTTATTTGGACTTCATATAAAACCTTAGTAACATATTTTGGTAGAGTAACTGTGAATGCAGAACCTGAATGCTTTTTGACTAGATTCTCTAGTTATGAAGTTGTTTGGATGTGATGTATTTAAAATCCTTTCCGTATTCCTCCACACATTTTTAGGGTTGCTGTGATGACTTTCTTAGGACACCTTTGGATTAACCGTGAAAATAACATTGATTCTGAGCAACCTGTAACAGCAGAAAGCATGAGAACATCTTTATTGAAAAGAAAATTGACGCTAAATTTGTCATCTTGCAGGCCAAGCAGTGGGGATGGACGCAGGGCCGTTGGCCAAAGAAGAGTGCCGAGTTCCTCCTGCACATGCTCAAAAATGCTGAGAGCAATGCTGAGCTGAAGGTAAAATCAAAAGCAGGTTATTATGCTGGTTTTCGTGTAATACTAACTATGTTGTGAGGGCTGGGAGTTTGTATCGAGCTAAACCAAGAGCAGACCAATGCAAATACGATTTATTATTCTGTGTGGAGTGAGTTGCTAGCCAGTCTTCTCGGTCCTAACGGAGATCCACTTTGTTTTGCATTAAGGTTCATTGGGGACCTGTTAGCAAGGAAGAACAGTGCTATAATCAGCTCTCTGGGGGGCAAGAAAAAACCAAGAAGGAGGTTATTGTTTTTTAGGTCTTTCTCAGTTCGGGTCTCTGAGATTCTTTCTAAGTGCAGTGCTTGACACTAGGACATCTACTTAGTTTTTTGCTTAATGGAGCAAGTGACATAATTCCAGAAGAGGATTGCAACCATGTTGAATGGGAAACAAAGGAATATATTTTGTTTAGTGAGCTAGATGATGGAGAAAGGAAGATGTATGTGGAGTAGAACTGACCTAAACATGAAATTGATGGAAAATTGGCTTCCAGATTTTAGAGGCAACCATGATCATAGGGACCTTTGGAATATAGTAATTAGTATAAATATGGATTCTAAGCTATCACAGGCTATAGCTAAAATGTATCATTGAAAGAATTTCAGTCCTATCTGTAGGTAATTGTGACTGTTTTGAGAAAAAGTATGATTTAGTCTGAACTAGGGGAACTATTGTTGATGGTTGTAAAGAGAACTTGTTTTTCCCCAGGGTCTGGATGTCGATTCGCTGGTAATTGAGCACATCCAGGTTAACAAAGCCCCCAAAATGCGCAGGCGCACTTACCGAGCTCATGGACGGATCAATCCATATATGAGTTCTCCCTGCCACATTGAGATGATCCTCACAGAAAAGGAGCAGATTGTCCCTAAACCAGAAGAAGAAGTTGCTCAGAAGAAGAAGGTAAGAACCATCCTACCCAAGAACCTTTTCTCAGCACGTGAAAAACAAGGTCACTTCAGTCTACTCAATAATTAAATAATTATTAGTACAGTTCTACACATATTGACTCAGGTGAATCTATTAAATGGACCACAATTTATTGTCCATGTGTTTAGAACTGAAGATGTTTTTCATAGTCAACAAAATGTTTCTATGTATAAATGTGAAAAAAAGGTATAAATGTAAGAAAAACATTTCTGTGTATATTCTGTGCAGTGCAGTTGGCTTCATTGTCCCAACACCCTAAAGGTTCACAAATACAGTCATTATGAAGTCTAGCAGGAATTTAAAAGTATCTCTCTAATTTCATACGTTAATATCAAAAAGAGAATTTAATTTCCATTTTTAAATTCTCCGGCGTATTCAGGGCATAAGCCTTGGTTTAGGATTTTGGCTTGCAACAAAATCAGAAGCCAGGGATCCTCCTTTGCATATAAACACACGATATGTGGACCTGTCCTGGTTTGTGTACGTTCTCTGGCTGGCATGAAAGAACAAGTGGGATTGGTTGACTTCTTGCTTGTTGTTAGCTAGCAGTGTGAAGAATTCTGGCTTAACGTGATATGCAAATGCATTACGTGGCTGTGTTGGTGGCTACTGTTACGGTAATAAAATTCAGCAAATACATATGATTGTGGCGAATTGGTACTGATGTGTTATATTATCTTTTTTCCAGATATCCCAAAAGAAATTGAAGAAGCAGAAACTAATGGCTCGGGAATAAATATTGATGTAATTCACAAATAAAACTACAGCTTGATTTAACACACATCTACTCTTTATTACAAGTTTATGTAATGTCCTTAACTTTCTCTGTGGTACCTTTTTAGACAAGGTTATACTTCACAGATTTCAAATACTTTTAATTGATATTTAATCTCTTAAATATCATGACACAGATAAATGTAACACAGATTTTTCAGATATCCCTGCATTGAGGCAGGCATATAACATTGTTTTCCCGCTTCTGGGATTGCTCCTAAACGTGATAAATTGGCTGATGAGTTGGTTGTTACGATATTTGGTCAATCGATTTATCATTTATTTCCCTGTGATAGAGCAGCAATATTTCATGAAGCTAGAAATATAATGGTACAATAAGAGCCTTTCCATACAAGTGGCAGAGTATTTCTCCTTTCAGTTATATGGAATACAGTATTTGCTACTGGATCTGAATGACTGGATTTACGAATCATGCTAAGCCACAGTTAAACCATGAGTTATCAACTAAGCCATGTTATGCTTGGCGATTAGTCTTGGTTTGCAAACAATGGTGGGTCTAAAGCAGATTTTTCTTTGGAAAAAAAAAAGACTGCATTGGATCCAGCAGCAACTGTTCCACTAGGAGATAAAACCCAAGAGTGCTGTTCAGAATGGACCTGCTGATGCAGAAGGTTTCTTTCTCTTCTTAGAAGGTTTTTCTCACATCAGAAGCTGCCTGATGATGAAACAAGAGAGTAGATCATTGCTGGGCCTCCCCAGGGCCTCCCCTAGACATCAAACCTGCAGGCGGTTAATAGTTTAAAATTGCTGTTGGTTGCTTGAAAACTTCGGCCAAGACTGCTGTTGTATATATCCTCTTCTAAGAGAATGATTTGTTGGAGGACTTCCAAACAGGCATGTACAAACATGCTTTTTTGCAGCAATGCTGCAAACGCAACAGTCCTCCCAGAGATAATAGCACGAGAGAATCTGATTGGCGTATGCAAGTAGCATGTTCAAAAGATAAAATAAACAGGTCATTTATTTGTTAATAAAACATGCAAGATTTGTTTTAATATATTGCAAATATTCAAAGTTTCAAAAGTCCTTCAGGATTAAGACTTAAACGATGGCTCCTTTGAACCCTATCCGTAACCCCAAAGGCTCATAAACATATTGTGGCCTATGGCCATTGGCGGTTATGTTGCTTTGCTAGGGCTACTGAATCTGGGATACCTCTTTCTTGCCTTCCAACGCCCAGCTGATTTTTTGCATCCCAGATCTGTGAGCCATAGATTTTCAGCTCAAAAGAGCATGTTTCTCCCATGTGGAACTTGGTCTAAATCAAGTGTTTTTCAAATGCTGGCTGGGGAATTCTGGGAGTTGAAGTCCATGCATCTTAAAGTTGCCGAGTTTGAAAAACACTGGTCTAAATTAACAAAATGGAAAAGGGGCTGCAGGGAGGTTATCAAAGCGTTGCTATAACTTTTGAGCAGAATTGCTATGGATTAAATAGCTATAAAAGTTGCAGCCAGCTATGGTGACTAATGTGAAGAGCCTAAGGAAGGGATCCAGTTTTCAAATACAATTTTCTTACTGGGAGTCTTGAAAAAATATCTGGCTTTACGTCCTCTTATAAAAATTGATTGTATCTTTAATCATCGTATGGTAGTAAGTAGAAATTCCACAGATGGGAACTTTCTGTCCCAGTTCTGTGTTGAGAGAAGCTGCTTCTGGATTTCCTCATGCAATTCTTAAAGATGAGGTAGCCCTCAGAACAGAGGACAAGTCAAAAGAAAATGGGATATCACATGAGTAATATGTACAGTGATGTCCTTATATTACTACCTTTTAAAAGTGTAATTCATACAAGCACACCAGAATTGTAAGAATTGGGCGGAATTGTAAATGCTGTCAATTCTACCTCCATTCAAGAATACGTGAGACAAGGCTGTCCAGCCTCTGATTTAATACATCCAGCAAAACAGAGCCACTGTTAAATTATTCTTGAAGTTTTTTGTAACATTCTGGATCCGTTTTCCTGTCATTTAATCCATGACCTACGTGTCCTGCATGCTGGGATGACAGAGAAAAGGTGTTTGCTTTCTGTGCAACATCTTTTCAGGATGGCGAAAGTATAAAAATAACCCGCTTGAACCATATCAAGACACACACCAATCTCTTCTTATTGATGGTCTTCACTGTTCTCTTAACCTGTTCCAGTTTTTCCCAGTCCATCTCAAAAAGTATGGTGCCCAGAACTGGACGTGGCACTTGAGGTGGTCTGATCCACGTGGACGACAGCGCTTCAAATTTGTGTTGCGAGTATGACGGGGTGGAGAGAACTGGGCAATTTTCAGACGCACACAGCATCGGACTGGATTGCAGGAGATTTGTGTTAGGGTCTTTCTGAATGTGTTGAACCAAAGTAGTGCTTCAGAATGCCCCGGGCATGCATTTGGACACCCTAGGATCTATGCTAGATTGAGAGAAAAAGGAGATGCTGAAGATTTTTCTTTTCTGGTTCTTTCCCTGCAGAGAGCAACATGTTTTACTGGCTGTCAGTAGGAACCAACTAGAAAATAAAACTGCATCTGTTAATCTGCAGCTATTCTAAAGTTTGCCATTATTCTAGGCTTCCAAACACAGCAGGAAGAAACCAAGGGCTCTATTCGTCATTTTCCCCTTAAGTGCACGAGATTGTTGCTCACAACGACCACGTTTACAGGATGAAAGTAACTAATTTCGCCCCTTACAGCAGCATGGTGCGCGCAATTTTTTTCGCGTTTTAAAGAGAAGTTCTCGCCCGTTGTAATACTGCAGAAAAATATTGAGACACCCCAGAGAGGCAGCTTGGAAGGATCGATACTGAAGCTCAAGCTAAGATACTTTGGCCACCTAATGCGAAGAGAGATCTCTTTGGAGAAGACCCTGATGCTGGGAAAGATGGGAGGCCAAAGGAGAAGAGGACGGCAGAGGATGAGATGGTTAGAGAGAGCATCACTGAAGCGATGAGCATGAAACTGAG